GGTATTATTTTATCATAGAATGCATTATCTTTGAGGTAGTATAAGTGAAAAAAAATATGATTCCAATGCTTTCTGAAGTTTTAGAAGAATAACATAAAAATAATGAAAAATACAGATTTCAGATAATAAGAAAACGTAATCAAGTTTTTTCAGACAAACCAAAACCGATTGAGGATGCAGGATTTTGACGCTTTCGAATTTATCTTTTCGGATATTGTCCACTTTTTATTGCTTATTTCTTAGAATAAATGATAGAAAAAACATACGAAGTCAAGAATAGAAAAAAAAAAATAATTGTCACTTTTTTTGAATATACGCTCTTTAAGCGCTAGAGGGCGTCGTCAGTGATGTTCTGGAGATGGATCATTGGGCAGTTTCGGGTCTTTCAAACCTCATACTGACCTCACCAAATCGACCCCCTCAGAGCTGATCAGACTCTGAAACGCTCTCTAAAAAATGCTTGTAGACACTGACTTCTATAAATATACCCCGTTATCACACATTTGATTGGAGATTGACCAACAGCCAATCGCAACGGTGCGAAATCTATTTAAACCGTTTACGGGGGATTTTTTTCTTTTTTCAATTTTTCAGTGGACACCCCTTCATCGGATACTTAGGAGGTAATTATGTTTTCCGTTTTTACCCACTTCCTATCAAGTTTCATTTCACCAGCTAATAATTACTATTTACAGAGATAAAAAAAAAAAAAAATACGGCCATTAAGATTAATAAATAATTTACAGCGAGTTAAGCCGGGGGTACTTATAAATATATAATGAAACGTTTAAGATATTTGCCAGGAAAAAATCACGTGTACAAAAATCAAAAGTATCAAATGCATTTAAGGAAGTTGTGTGACGGAAGTTGGCATTTATCGTAGAAGCAATGAGATAAAAAAACCATTTCCTCAGAATTAGTATCTTACTCTCAGGTAGCATTTGCATTCTATTTACAATGTAGTCTTGCCGTCAATGATCGATAGAAACAGGGACAAAATTCTTGGAGATATTCTCATGAATTTACGATAAGATGAAATCTAGAATTTAATATCGATACAAAAATGTTGCTGATAAGATATAAGAATGTTTATAATAAAATTTCCCCCTCTTATATATGCATGTAAACAGTTTCTTTGTGAAAAATTCTTCCAAATTCTATCTATCTATCTATCTATCTATCTATCTATCTATCTATCTATCTATCTATCTATCTCAGTCTGGACATTTCTATCTATCTCAGCCTGGTCATTATCTATCTATCTATCTTATTCTATTCTCGTTATGTTCCAAAAGATGTCTCCACCTATTCCTTTTCTCTTAGCGGTCAGTCTGGTCTGATTTTTTTTTTAATGCGATGAAAGTTGGATTCACAATATGCTACCTACACACGTCTGTATTTCCGCCTCACATTGAATCTTCATCTTTCGTTTCCATGACACCAGCAGCTCTTCTTGCCGAATGAACGTCTTCTTCTCTTGTTATTCATTGTCGCATTTCAACTTTTCACAAAAGATCATTAATACCACTGAATATTTAATAAGTTCTCAACGGGTGTCCTAGCTCTCTGTTAATTACAGAAGCAACATCCATTTAACTAACTCCTAAATATTGCAACGTAGTTTACAGAATCGAACGGATGGAATGGCATCCACGCTTGCAAAAGGGCTTCTCTCCATATGACTTGAATAGGCCCTTTCGTTCGCACATTATTCTGGTACATTAAAATGGCGTCTTTTAATACTCAGGTTTGCTTCTATTTACAGTATTCGGACTATTGTGCTCATCTTTGTCGCCAGATTTATTACAACGTTTCGGCCGTTGTACGCTCCGGCCTTCTTCAGGTGGTTGGAATGTCGAACTGAACCATGTTTCCTTGAGGACACATGGCACAGTGGATAAAGGCGTTAATTAGATCCAGTGACAGGACACAAAGAGTGTGAGTTCAATACGGCAGTGGAGAACTTGGAGAGGGGAATTAACAGGAGATAACTGACATCCATTTGACATGTGTATGAATTTCTGGATATTATAAACCTAATGTCTTCAGCAATCATTTTTTACCAGTGCTCATATTGCAATTTTTGCTGTTATCATTTCATGTTTTTACCAGAGTTTATATTGCAATTTTTGTTGTTATTATTGCTTTTCTCTGACACTCCTTATTACTGGTTCCCATATTGTATTCATTTCTACGCTTGGTCGTCTCAGGAGATTCTCGTGGACTAGCATATGTGCTGATTCCCTAGTGAGCAAAATAAAGGGTTCAGTTCGACATTCCAACCACCTGAAGAAGGTCGGAGCGTACAACGGCCGAAACGTTTCAATAGTCCGAATAATGTAAATACTGTACATAATACCTCATCTCAGAAATATAGACAGATATTCAGGCGTGCTTATATTAATCACTCAGTGTTTTTTTTATTAGTCCTGTTTTGTAAGAGAGCAAATCTATATTATCAGGTCATCCCATAAGTTCTGTCCGAATTTTAACTTTTTGGTAAAATGAACAAAATTTAAAGAGTGTTTTATAATGTCTAATGGAGCTGAACATTATTTTTATGTTTAGATGCATTTAAACTGATCAAATTTTATTTCAGAGATCAATAAAATTAAATTTTGTTTGATTAAAACCCTGCTAACATGGAAATACCAAAGAATCATTTGAGGCACATAATGCTTTATGAGTTCAAGAAAGGAAACTCAGCAGCCGAAGCGGCTAGAAACATTCACTCAGTTTATGGAGAGGAATGTGTGAATGAAAGAACTTGCAGAAGATGGTTTGCAAAATTCAGAGGTGGAGATTTCATCCTTGAAGATGAAGATCGAACCGGACGTCCAGTTGAGTTTGATGAAAAGATTCTTGAAGCAGCCCTTGAAGAAAATCCTTCTTTATCAGTTGGGGAATTGGCAGTGGTTCTCAGTTCAAACCATACAACTGTTCATCGTCATCTTCAACAACTTGGAAAAGTTCCTAAACTTGGAAAATGGGTGCCTTGTGAATTGTCTGAAAACAACCTCAAATCCCGAGTTGACATCTGCTCTTCTCTCCATTCTCGCCAACTTGTTTCACCTTTTTTGGATAGACTTGTGACTGGCAAAAAAAATGTATCTTTTATCAAAATGTTAAGCATTGTAGACAGTGGCTTGGTAAATGGGAAGGACCCCAGCCACAGCCGAGAAGGGAACTTCATGGGCAAAGGTTCTTCTTTCAATTTGGTGGGATCGCCAAAGAATAATCCACTTTGAAGTCTTACCACCTAATGCAACAATTAATGCTCAAATATACTGTCAGCAATTAGAGCGTTTGAACCAAGCTTTGAGGAAAAAAAGACCTACTCTAGTGAATTGAAAAGAGGTGATGTTTCATCGGGACAATGTGTGACCCCACACAGCAAGAATCACATCACAAAAGATCGAAGAACTTGGTTGGGAGAAAATTCCTCATCCACCTTATTCTCCCGATCTTGCTCCTTCAGACTACCATTTGTTTCGTAGCTTACAGAATCATTTGGAAGAAACAGCTTTTGTAACACAGGAAGAGATTAAAACTGACATTTGTGAGTTCTTTGAATCAAAGCCAAAAGAATTTTACAATAAAGGATTTAGTAAGCTTGTTAATAGATGGATGGAAGTCATAGATAATCAGGGAAAATACATTGTTGATTTAATCTGTAATTAAATGTAACATTTGGTCACTTGTTTTCTTTATTCCAAATTCGGACAGAACTTATGGGATGACCTGATAGATGGAAGGAAGTCATAGATAATCAGGGAAAATACATTGTTGATTGAATCTGTAATTAAATGTAACATTTGGTCACTTGTTTTCTTTATTCAAAATTCGGACAGAACTTATGGGATGACCTGATATATTAAGCTGTTCGGAAAATAATATCCCTATTTTACAATCAACATTTATTCCTTAATTAATATATTTAAATATAAATAATAAACCTGGACTCTGTCAAAATAATAACTCTGAATATCTATACGTTTCTGTCAATGAGTTACGAGCTTATTTATACATTCACGATAAAACTATAAATGTTTGGATGCAATGGAATGTTTGAAGGCAGTTTGTGCATCCTCTTTGCAAGATGTCTTTCAAAACTGTCAGCAGGTTTGAAAAAGTTGTTGTCAGTTGGTGAACGATCAGAGAAATATGGTGGATGTGGTAAAGTCTCATATCGCAAGTCGGTGGGATTGTTTCTGAAGTGTCATACTTGCAACATGTGACCAAGCATTGTCACAAAGCAGAACTAGACGTCGGTGATTAATCAGTGCTGGTCATATTGTGCTAAACTTAATGTGCATTTTATCTGCTTCCTGGCAGTAAACTTTGGCAGTGATGCTCTGCTTAGATTCCAGAGAACTCTAATGGTTAACGCCAATGGTGGATCACCAGACAGTCACTATAATCTTCTGTTTGTGTAATTTCGGTTTTCGAAAGTGTTGGGTTCTTCTACATGACCTTGCCTTAAGGGCGCCATTTATAATCACAACTCAATATTCGATCAAGAAATGGATCATTCGAAATTCGCAAATGCAACATCAAACATTTAAACACGTCGAACTCTTTGAATTTTACTGCTGGAACCCATTTATCGCGATTATTCTTCATGCCAATTTCCTTGACATACTACTGTACTGTACTGATGCGGCATTCATCCTGGGCGGATTGAGCCGGCTTCTTCCTGTTATGAGAAGAAGATTCTTGGGATAAATTACAGAAGTAGGGTACCCAGGCCTACTCGGATAACGTTCTTGCTTGCCGCGGGGTTCCCACAGACGCAGAGACAGGAACGACCAGAAGCCGCCGGTTACCGATGCAGGCGCTCCTTGGATTTTCACCAGAGCCCTTGTTAGCCGGCGTGTGTGTCAGACCTGTCCGCCTTGGGTGGCCCTACCAGGAACGAAGTTCCGGGCGGCATAGCTCTGACACTACCGTTTACACCCCACCACCGACTGTGAGGTAAGGGTTGGACTTTGGGGGCTTAGAGTACCAGGTGTTCCCAAGCGGTCCCCCATCTAAGTACTGACCTGGCTCTACGATGCTTAACTGCGGTGATCGAACGAGAACTGGTGTTTCAGCGTGATTTGACCGTAAGCAATTTCCTTGACATGGTTCCATATTGTTGAAATACTAACCCCCGTTATCTGAGATATTTCTCTGGTACTTTGACGTGGGATTTGTTCGCCTTGAGTTTTCAAACGTTGATTTTTAATTGCAGATAGACGTCCTCTGCTACCTTGATCTTCAAGACTGCGGAACTTCAGAAACCAGCGTCGTACTGTACGTGGGCCCTTCAGCTCATAGACCGTTAATGTTGGCAGCGGTTTGAGGAGTATTCTGACCAAGTTTGAACGCATACAAAAAAGTAAACGCATCTCGCCTTTTTAATGAGTTTTATATAATGTTCTATGTTTATAGTTTCTTCTTTTCCCGCACTTCTCACGCGTGGAACAATTTTCCGGCCTTTAGCTTTCATGTCAACTACGACCTTCAAAAATGTAAATGCTATCTTCTGCCTTCTTGAATCACTTTTTTTTATTGTCGTCTCTATTTCTTTCACTCTCTGTAACCGATTGCATCTTAGTGGCTTTATTGCCTTGCTCGGGGTGAGATCATTAAAAAAAACTGTTGGGTATGGAGATCGCAACATCACCCCATAAAACCTACTTGCTATGGAAAACACAACTATAACATTTAGCTTGTTACGGCTGTTGTCCTATATTCCCAAAAGGACTCCCCAAGGTTGACTTACATGATGGCTGACTATTCGGTAAACGACTATCTCTGACAAGCTTCATCATGCTTTTGTTCTCGTGAGAGCTACAATCGATTTTGAAGCCAGCAAGAAACTTACAATCCTTATTTCGCATACGGCAAACTAACTTTGTTCTGTTAAGGGCCTGGCTTGTTTTGTCATTTCTATTCCGATTGATCGTGGGTTTTCATGGCTTGGTAAATGGGAAGGACCCCAGCCACAGCCGAGAAGGGAGCGGTTTCTATATGTCTTCAGGCACACATCGAATAGTAGTGCTGATCGTAATTTCGACCAACCTTGAGGTTAACGAATCCTGCATTGGGGAATATAATCTGCCGATATCATCGTGTCAATTGATGGATTACTGCACGCTTGAAATTTGCCCAACTCATTGAATGTTCTTGGAAGATCCTAGTACCTGGTCCCTCTCTTTGTTAGTTTGCATGACTGTTATGCCCTGTTAATATCTCATATATAATAAACTATTCTGTTTTGATCATGTGGAAAGAGGAGGAAAAACGCTACTTGGTTTCAGTGAGAAAATATAAGAAAAATAAAAGAAAATAGAAGTGGAGTGAGAGAGAATCAAATCAAGCTGAAAGAACAAATACTACATTTTGATCTTAGCTAAAAGGCTGAGACGTGAGGCAACTGATTTTTGAAACATACACTAGCAAGCAACAGAAACCAAGTAAGGGAATCATCAAAAATTAAGTTACCATAAATATAGTTTCGACCAAACCTGACTCTTCTTCGAGTCCTGAATTGGGAAAATATATATAATTTGCAAAAGTTATATCAATTGATGGATTAATACAAGTTTGAAATTTGCCCAACTCATTGCATATTCTTGGAAGATCCTGCTGCCTTCATGAATTCAATCTCTCAACTTATTCTGAACACAGAGAGCAGCTCCACATTCAGGAAGTTCCATATGGCACACTGCAAGGACGAGAGGTTCATCATTTGTTTCCTGTTTCGGACTGGGTTTCTGGTTTCTTCTAAAGTCTACTTCAACTCTATACTCCTGACCTTTCTACCTGAACACTGAAATTGTATTCGCTAATTAAATCGTGACCTCTTCAAGTCTAGAATTAGCTGTCTTTCCTGTTATCTTTCTGGCTTGTTTTACGCTAATACAAATTCACATAGTAATCTTCTACCTTGAGCGGTTCTTGGGCCTTGTATTTTGTGAACATTAGTAAAAAAAAAAAAAAACATTAATAGGTGGTTACCCGTTTCCCGAACATATCCCTCTGCTAGAGCGGTTAGCCAAACCCTGTTACAGGCGCCATTTAAGGTATATTTGTGTTCGTTAAACAGCAAGATAACACACATATGATTTATACTGTGATTATACTAAGCGGATCTTAGTTACAGTTTCTGGAGGAGAGCACGTAGCCAGGCATAATAAGCCGTTTGAGCAACGCCAATGCGCTTAAAGTCTCGATCAGCACAACGATCAACGTTGCGCGAATCTATTCTTTATTGTTTCCTCTTCTCAATAACGTTTATCAGATTCTCAATAATCCCCTTGCGTCTTATTCGCTTTGTTGCTTAGGGAGAAATTATTAAAAAAAAAGAAAAGGTAAATTATCATTAAGTGTTCTAACTTTGAGACGGGGTTTCAAATCTCGCCAGTAGTCAATTGATCAAAGAAATGACTTCTTGACGATATTGGCATGTTGAGTAGACCCCAGCGTGCAACTCATCGGGTAATGTCCACGGATTAACCCAAACATTAAGAGTGTAATCGCATAGATTTGGAGGACGTCAAATGCTTTGCTAGTACACACAGGAGATGCTTCCACAAACGCTGCACAATCTTCTTCAAGAGTCAATCGTCATCTATACTCCATATCCTTGTAATCAACAATTCCTATCATACACCTCATTCTATAACCCTCTGTTTTGAGTTGCTCTTTAAGTTTTTTGGACTAATCTATACTTAATAAATACTGCGCCACAGGAGTAGGCAGCGAGGCAGGGAGGTACCCGAACGAGGCTACGCCGAGGGGCGGAGTCTCGTTCGGGGAGGTAAACCGGCCCTGAGCCCGTTTATACAGGTTCAATGGGCATATTTTTGGGCCGAGCCCACGGGATCGGAGAACCCACAATAAATAACCGACTTTGTGTCACATGCTGCCCCAGTGGGGAGGGGGGTGACTTAATATCGTCAGTCGTTCAAGTCTCAACCGGCTGATCGGTTGAACTCTCTGCCTTCGGGCGGGGGTGGAACCCGAAAGAGGCTACGCCGAAGGGCAGAGTCTCGTTCGAGGAGGTAAACCGACCATGAACCCGTTTATACGGGTTCAAAGGGCATATTTTTGGCCGAGCTCACGTTAAACCGGCCTTGTGCCACATGACGCCCTCGTGGGGGGGACTGAATATCGTCAGTAGTTCAAGTCTTTTCAGTAGTCCAAGTCGAGTCAAGAGTCAAGTCAGAGGCAGTCCGAAACAGAGTCGCGTTCAGACAATTACTACAAGATATTGGAATAGTGATACTGGTCGAGACTACATTGTTCTCTCTACTAAACCTGATTGTTCATACTAACACTTTCTACTTCTCTGTATATATTCCTGTTTGTAATATATCTGTGTTATTCCATATACATGTTCAAGTTCTTCTTTATTGGTTCTACCTTGGACTATCATCGTGGTACAAGGAACTGGACCATAACAATCGGTTTAAAAAATGTCCCCTGTCTTCACCTAATGGGAAGATAGATGCTCTTCAGACTTGGTTGGCAACCTATCTAGAAATGATACATTCATAGCAGCCTGGTCTCTCGCGGGGATGTATGCAAAAATCTCACAACTATGTCACGTGACATCGCAATCTGCCTTAGGCGGAAATGGCGCCGCATCGAAGTTATAAAATGTCACATTTAAAAAATGACGTTTCATTCACTAACTTTATAAAAAGTGAAAAAAAAAAAAAAAAATTATCCACTTTCATCCTGAACACGAAGTTTGGGTTCTTTCCATTTTTCACTTGTTGATAAACCGTAAAATATTGACGACTGACTTTTTAATTAAAAGAGTCAAATCAACTCCTGATGTCATCAGTTTTACCGACGCACTACAGGCAATAAAGAACAAAAATGGACACGAGTTACTTAAACAAACAATTGCTTATTTCCAACAGTTAATAAGCCATCATGGAATTTTATTCTTTTTTTCCCGCCAAAATTCAATTTGTAATGGAAATCAAACGCATTCTACTAACCTGGCGTCCATAGTTTCTTGTTATTTGCCTCGCGTTGAAAACAGCAGGAAATCTAAATTGTCATCTCGCCAAATCATTTTGGATCTCCCGATAGACGTAGTATCTATTAGGTTCTGTGATATAAAACTTTATTATCTAGAACAAAAGGATAGCATATATATCAGAATAACATTCAACATCCATTCATACCATAACCTTATTGTTCATGTTTGGCAGTGATCTATCTATCTATCTATCTATCTATCTATCTATCTATCTATCTATCTATCTCATTTTGTCCATTATCTATCTATCTATCTATCTTAGTTTGTTCATATATATCTGTTTGTCTTTCTTCATGACATATCTAGCTATCGATCGATCTATCTGTTGATATCTATCTGCTTATCTATTTGTTTTTATTCATGATCTATCTATCTATCTATCTATCTATCTATCTATCTATCTAACTTTGTTCATATTTATCTGTTTGTCTCTATTCAATGTCATATCTAGCTAGCTCGTTAGATAGCAAGCTAGCTATAGGTCTATCTATCTGTTCATATCTATCTGCTTATCTGTTTGTTTTTATTCATGATCTATCTATCTCTCTATCTATCTATCTTAATTTGTTCATATCTATCTACTTATCTGTCTATTCATGATCTATCTATCTATCTATCTATCTATCTTAATTTGTTCATATCTATCTACTTATCTGTCTATTCATGATCTGTCTATCTATCTATCTATCTATCTATCTATCTATCTATCTATCTATCTGACATATCTGTCTTAGTCTACTGCTGTCTTTTTAGCTGTCTGTCTGTCTGTCTGTATCATTCTGTTCTCCATCTATATATCTATATTGTGTCAGTCAGTTGCTGTCTACTTTTGTTCTTATCTATCACGGAAAATCAACAAATCCTGCCTCAAGAGAATCATTTATGACTCCCCGATCTCGCCCCTATCCACTACATCCATTCCCCCCTTCAACCTTACGGAAACCAAAATTGTTGTAAACAAATAAAAACTCCTCACATTTGTGCCATGGACAATTTTGTTTATGGATTAAAGCTGGCAATCGTTTCGTATGGCAGCGCCGGCTGACGTAACCTTCACGTATGGACA